TAGCAAATCCTGCGATAGCTTGAGCTGTATCAACGCCCGGCAATATCACCCTTACAAGTCATGAGAGACGAGGCAGAGCCTCTAGCATCCTGAAAGAACATAAATATGCTAGCGGCGTCCTCCTTACACCTCAATTGAAACCGCCGTCGACCAAACGTCAACGGGTGCAAGGAGGGCCGACATAGCAGACTGGGTACGATACTGACTCTGAAGACAAGAAAACCAAATCCTGGATAAACAGCCGCCTGATGGAATTAGCGGCAGTAGAGAACATACAGGGCTTGAAATGGCTACCTCAAGCTCCGCATCCGAGAAAAAACCAGAGACAGGCCAGGCAGCCCAAGGCAGGCACTTGCGCCCAGATCTGGAACATAAGCCGTCAGCCCATGGAAGTCCCAGAAAAGCACCAGGCAACAAGTGAAAGGAACACCAAGCCTTATCTCCAACATCGCCCCCTCTAGCAGGAGGAGGGGGTCCATCTGGATCCGCCTCAAGGTGCGGTATGATAACTACCAAACCTAGTAGAAAATGTTCTGCGTGATCTATACAATAAGCTGAAAGGTTCATGTCAAGTAGCTCATTTCTGCGGGCCCCAGCCTCCTCCGACTTGCAGCAGTGCAACTTTGGATCAAGCATGTCTCCTGCTCGTGCACCCAATAGTCGGAAGTCCTCAATAGCATATCCTGAATAGGTCACCCCACTAGTGGTCCAGTAAGCCTGACACAAGACATCCCTCGGGAGGGCCGCCTGATCCTCCGAGATGTTTGCCTTCCCAGAGGTGCTCAAAATCCTCAGGGCCAGGTCAAGACACTCCCTGGGGGCCTCCTGGATGCGTCTGACAAGCTTAACAGCATTTGTTTCCCAAGTCCTGGTACTCGCAGCCTGGAGCCCGTACTCCAGCGGCTTGGGCGACAGATAAACGAGCGAGAACAGCTTACACTCGTGAGATTTCAGCACGGACTGTCCTTGAAATGCCCCTGCATTCCTGCCCAGGGCGCGCGTCGCCACTGCAACAGGCCCTCGAACTCGATGGCGTTTGAGTCCAGAGCAATACGCAATACACTCCCAGAGTGATTGTAGCAATCTGAACCCCAGGTGCCCCACGAGCCCCAATTTGCCAGAAACCCCTCCGCCGAAACTTCCTGAGCCCAGCGCAACACATGCGCTAGGGCCCGCTGGTCTGCATTGGACTCATAAAGTGCGAACGTGAATGATCTGCTCATGCCTTTACACATTGGCCCTGTGGCCGAATATTCTGCTCTAAGTTGTTCCAAATAAGGGTTAGACCAAACTTCAATACTCAAGGCAAAAGCTCCAGCAGGCAGAGGACCGCAGGTGACAGTTTGGCGGGCCCCCTGGCCCATAACTCGCAATGGCTGCATCCAAAGCGCAGCTCGCTGTTTGACCCGCTGGAACAGCCTGGCCCTCTTGGTAGTGTTCCTGGAAAAAGTATCTGAAAACCCGGCTCTGAAGACTGACCCCAGGTTGGTGGTAACATGCTGTTGTTTCCTTGCCCAAGCTCCTAGGGCCATCTGGCTGTTCCTGCCGAGTGCTGCCAAAGGGGCGACAAGTGAAAACTTGTCCACTGCCAAGGTGGCGTCTAGCACATCCTTGATGGCGGCAAGCTGCATGGCGGCCTGCACGATCCACTTAAACTCATCCTTTCCCCAACCGCACACCGTGTGCAAAAAGCCTCGAACCTGATGGAAACTGGCTGGTAGACCTACCCGCACAGGGAATTGTTGCCTGCCCTGCCACTCAAAATCTGTTGAAACTGATGAGACCAGCTCGGCCAGCTTTGCCTCAACGGCGTAATAATCTATGACCGTTGACGTTTCTTGACTTGATAAGACCGGCTCCGAAACCAAAACCTGGGCCCCTTGCGCCTCTGAAAACACGGAGGAAACCAGAGACTCATACGGTATGTTGTAGCCTCCCCCAAGTACATAATGCATATGCGACGCTTGACTGTGTGTGACCATGCGGCCCGTTAACTCCCAATGAGTGACAGAAAGCCGTTCAGCGACTTTCCAATAGACCGAGGCGCAACTGCTCTCTGGGGCCCCTGGGAACTCTACCACACCAAACAAAATGCTCCTCCGAAGACGTAAGCACTCGGAGGGAATGTAATGTGGCTCAAGAACGTAGGCCCTTAGAGTGGCTCTCGTAAAGCTGGCCTCTCTAGACGACTCGCCCTCGTCCCACAGGTCTAAAAGACTGGAACGAGACGCACAAGAAGGGCCCGTGACGCTTGGCGCCCAGAATGACTTCAAGCCATAGTTTGGGGCCCAAGCACGATCGGTTCCCAGGGGCCCTTCAAGAACCTTGGTCTCCTGATCAAACAAAACTGTGCCCGAGGACGTTTGCACCTCCCCAAGTCTGTGCGTTGAAGACCCCCAAGACGAGCAAAAGAAAGTTTCCTCGAGCATGGCCACCCCACCATCACCAATTTCCCATTCAAACTGGCCCTGGTCGATATCAAAATCGCTGTCGGAAAACTCTGACCTGCCTTGGCTGAAGTCACTATGGTGCTGCGTGCTGGAGGAGCCTGCATCAGCGCCTGGCCCACAAAGACCTGCAGGCGTAGAAAAATATTGGCTACCCTGGCGACCTCTTGGCCGCCTCAACTGCTTCGTCGTCTGAAACTTCTGCGGCGCCGCCTCCAGCGCCTCGGGGCGAGCGTGGCCCACGATCACGATCTTGTCCCTCATCGTGTGCTGGTGACTGTCCCTTGCCCACTCCTGGGCCTCGCCCTGCGCCTGGTCCAAGAGGAAACCGATGTCCAGCTGGCTGCGGCACGGCTGGATGCTTGGCGACGGTCGGCCTCGGTGTTGGTGGAGTCCACGCAGGCTTGGGCATCTGAGTTCCCGCCGCCTTGGCGAGCTCCTTCTTCTTAGCCTCCCAGGCTGCACGTTGCTCTCCTGGCAAAAGTGACTCCAATGCTTCGAGCTGCTGTCTCTCGAGGCTGGGGCCATGATCATCTTCAGCAACTCGCATCTCACGGTTTGCAGCCTCCTCAAACTTTGGAGCCAACTGCTGTGCCGCTGTAAGTAGTTGGGCAATCTCGGCGTCGTGAAGGGCCTTTGCGACCAGAGACTTCAGTGAGAGCTTGAACGAAAGATGTGCACGAGCTGTCGTCGCCCATGTCTGGGATTGCCGATCCCCCTCCGCCTTGAGCTGCTTCTCAGCCTCGTCCAGCCTCTGCTGTAACTGCTTGCTGTCATCTCGCATGGTCTCAAGTAGTAATTCCATCTGCCCAATGTACTCTGTGTTTTCGTCCAGTTGCTTGCGCAGCTTGTATACTTTGTCTCGTGCCCTCTTGACACGAACCGTCGCTCGATGCACTTGATTGTGATGGGGCAGGTGTACCGCGGCCTGCTCCTTGAGCTGCGTAAGCTTATGTCTGGATGCTGCAAGACTCTGCTCATGACCAGGGACGAGATCCTCTGTGACTGAGCTGGCGTAGGCGATGTACTTCTCAAGAGACTCGATCTGGCTGTGTATATTATCCGCCGCCACAGTTGTGGTTGCTTGCTGTTGCTCGTCATCTCCATCTCCTTCTGGCTGAAGCGGCGACTTGGATGGAGGGGTGGCGCCTCCATACCGATTGTGACAGTACTTGAACAAATATGTTTGCTTCGCTCCTGCGCCATGTTGGAATGACGACGCACTTCCAGCTTCTCCTTGATCATTCCTTTTCCCCTTCTTTGGTGGCCAACCATTTGGCGGCTGAAAGTTGGCCCCGCAATACTTGCACTGGCGCGTGCCAGCATCAATAAACACCCAGCTGCGAGGGCAATTCTTGCATACCACCCATTGCCTCGGCCTGCCGCCGGCCATGGCTGCGGAATGGTGATCGAACAATCTGTGGCTGCGATTCGCAGCGCAAGGGAAAGGAGTATGACAGACAGCCCCCTGGCCTGGGAGCGGTCGTCTGTGGGGGCCGTCAGAAACTGGTCCTGCACCACCTCGAGGAAATGTTTTACTTGAGCCAAAATGGCTTTAGCCAAAATGGCTTGAGCCAAAATGTCTACGGACTCGAGACCCCCCCCCTCGCCCGCATCTAAGAGAACGAAGAATGACATAAACATAAAAACTCGGAGGTCCGCGCGGATTTCTCGGATCGGCGCTGGACCCCCCTCCCTGGCGCGCGGAGAGCGCCAGGGGCGGCGCTGGAGGCGCCGCCAGGGGGCTCCAGCGCGGATCCGAGAAATCCGCGCGGACCTCCGAGTTTTATGTTTATGTGACTTTTTGTTCCCCTATGTAGGCGATCGGCGACTCTCGGAGGAGGAGGTCCGCGCCCCTGCGCACGCTCGAGCCCACGAGGGGCTCGCCAGCGCGAGGGCACGCACCTAGACTCGATTTCCTCCTGGGCCGCGCACTACTCGGTGTCCGTCGCCCCCGCTTCCCCCCTGGCGCCCGGAGCGGGGGGGCAGCAGCAGGGGCAGGGATCGAGCGTCGGTCGTCGAGGAGGTAGGCGGGAGGGAGAGGGGGGAGGGAGGGAGAGGGAGGAGGGAGAGGGAGGGAGGGAGAGGGGGGAGGGAGAGAGAGGGGGGAGGGAGGGAGAGGAGGTAGGCGGGAGGGAGATGGGGGAGGGAGGGAGAGGGAGGAGGGAGAGGGAGGGAGGGAGAGGGGGGAGGGAGAGAGAGGGGGGAGGGAGGGAGAGGAGGAGGCGGGAGGGAGATGGGGGAGGGAGGTGCGAGGGAGGGGAGGAGGCGAGGCGGGGATTTATCCGTGTCCACCGCCTGGGAACCGACATCCTGGTGCCCCCAGCGGGCGGTGGATACGGATATTTTTTGGGGCTTCGGGAGCCCGAATATGTCCACATCCACCGCCTGCCGAGGCTCCGAAAACTGACCCTCCAGGCGGTGGATATGGATAAATTCCCGCCTCGGAAAGGAGGGCAAAGAGCGGCATGCAGGAGGCGACGGGACGAAGAGGGGAGGCGGGAGAATGGGGGGAGCATCAGTGTCCTGACTCCCTGGCCCCTGCCCCGCGACCTTCTTGGAGAGGGCCGCCTTGACCTCGCGGACGTTGCCCACCGCGTGCATACTGTCCCGCGCGGCCTTTCCGGCCTCAGAACGCCAGAAACGACCCCCCCCCCTCACCCTTGCGATTCAGACCTGGCTTGAAAAACAAGAGAACGTCAACGCCAAAACGACGACGACACCGCAAGGAGGCAGGAGGCAGGAGGAGGGGAAGGGTAGGAGGGACCAGGAGGAAAAGGGAGGTTGGACAATGAAGAGAAGAAGAAAGGAGGACAAGGGAGGTGGCAGGAAGGAAGAGTCGAGTCGCGCATCCCCTCTCGTGGCTGTACGGATGGGCTACGATGCACGGGCCTGGGCGGGCAAAAGTCGCGAGGCTGCAGAACCGAGCGACGGTGATCGCCGAATGCAACAGGAGGAGGCGCAGCCGCTGCTGCTCATTCCATTGCGAAACGGCGACTTACCCACATCCACGGCTTGGGAACGGATGTCCTGGGACCCCAGGCGGCGGCGGGCGGGGTCATAGCTGGACCCTTCGGGGCCTAAACGTATGCCTACATCCACACCCTCCCGAAGTCCAGGGAGGTCGCACCCCCCGAGCGGTGGCTGTGGCCAAAGCGCTTGAAGGGCAGCGGAGGTGTGCGGCAGGACCGAGGGCTGAGGGGCAACGATAGGGAGGGATTGGCATGCGTAGGGGGGGGGACGCCTCGACCTGGAGTCGGCGACACATACATCGCCCATGGATCGGCGAGGGGCCCCATCGGCCAGTGGCCATCGCACCTTGCTGTGCAGGTCGGGGCCATCGGGCCCCCATCGGGCCCCCATCGGCCATCGGGCCAATGGGCGATTGGGAGTCGATGCATCCCCCCCTGTCACGGTGCCTACAGTGACAGGGGCTTTGACCTCAGGAACCCTACGTAAGGAACGAGGCCCCGTTTACCCATTAGTTAACCTTCGGCTCCCCGTCGAAGACGGAAGGAAAACCTTAGGAAAGCTGGGAAACCATCAAGGAACACCGAGCACCTCCCCAACGAGAAGGGTTCCTTCTTCAGCGCCCTGACTGTAGCCCCCCCTATCGCTGCCCCCTCAGCGGCGCCACACCCGCAGGAGCAGGTCGCGCGCAGGGGGCCCCATCGGCGACCTGCGTGTGGGAGGCCGGCCGCGCGGGCGACGGGGCGCGGCGTGGGGGCCGCGCGCTGGCCTCCTGGCCACTACGGCGGCGGGGGGATGCCGAAGGCGCGCCCCCGGGCCAGGAAACCCTCGGCGGTGGACAAACCTCCCTCTACTACACCTCCCCCTAGTGACAACGGCCTGGGACCGAAACCGACGGACCCGGACCCGCAAAAATGACGGCCGCGACGCCCCCTCGCGAACCGAAAACGGCCAATTCCTCAATCGACGTGTCAGGGTAGGAGGTCTACCCACCTCCGAAACCCTATGCAGTCGGCCTGGACTGGAGAGGACACTCCGGTCGGGCGAAAGGGGGGGATGGCAAAGGGGGGGTGTGAGAATCAGCTCACGTATAGCTGAGTTTCCAGGCGCCTCCTGGCGCCGGAGGCGGCTATGCATCGAGGAATGGGCCCCTCGGTGAGGCCGAAACCAGCTGCATGCAGCAAATTTCGTAGCCCCCCCTTTCCCAATCCCCCCCTTTCGCCCGGCCCAAGACACGCGAGAGGACACAGGACCCTTCCGAGGGCCGCGTGGCCACAGAAATGCAGGAGGCACGGGTCGCAAGACACAGGACACGAGGGTAATTACCCTTGATCGGGCAGGGTCGACCTACTCATCCGGGCCGCCTCTACACCGCCACACGCGAGCCCGACCAGTGCCGGCCAGAGTTCTGCAACACCGGCGGGGGGCTCAGAACCCGAAGGATGTCGGCATCCAGGTGAAAACCAGGGGCATCCGATACCCCAGCGTCGGGTAGACCTGCAGGGGTAAGGCTTACATTACAAGTGGTCGCAGAGCAGACGCCTGCCGACAAGGTTCCCCTGCGCCCACATGGAGGGCGGCGGCGTACGAAACGAAACCGCTGGAACTCGGCGGTAAATTACAAGCCGCCACCCCCCCCCGATGCCATCCGCTGGGCGGGCCTGCGTATATGTGTGTAGATCTATAATCACACACACATATATAGATTCCCTTCCATATATGTTATTGATCCGGGGGGCGCGGATTCCCCCACCTCCAGAAACGGAATCCCTGGCGTACAAGGCTCCCGGACGCTTCCTCAGGCCCCGCGAGATCGCCACGCCTGTGGAAGTCCTTGCCAAGCTGTGCGAACAGGTCGGCGGCGGCCCCGAGGAACCCGAAAGACGGTCTAAGATGGCCCCGAGCGGTCCCGGCCCAGTGTATGCAGCGGCAGGCGACCATCAGAGCATAGTGAAGTGGTGTTGCGGATATGGTAGGCTGCGCATGGTCTGAGGTTTGCCCGTTGCATGCGTGGCCATTCCTGATGTGGCCACCAGGGAAGACGGCACGGAGGAGGGAGAAGGGAGGGACGAAGGGGAGAGCAGGAGGGAGGAGAGAAGGAGGGCGGCAGAAGTCGGGCGTCGGGAGGCAAGGGGAGCAGGAGGAGCGGAGGACGACGGCGAGGGCGACGACGAGGAGGGAGAGGCGGAGAGCGAGGAAAAGGACGGCAGAAGCACGCCGGGGGGCGGGGGAGGCGGCCGGCGACTCCGCCGGCCGCGGCCTCGCTCCCGTACTTGTGCGCGATGACGTCGGAGGAGGCGTCGGCGACCTCCCTCCAGAAGCCCGCGCTCGCGTCCTCGAGGGGGGGCGGTGCTCCGCGGCGGCGCAGGCAGGCGAGGGGAGGGGCCGAGGCGGGAGCGGGGGCGGCGAGCCGTCCGAGGAGTGCGCACCGCCGAGGGCCCACGGGCTGCACGAGCAGCAGCGTTTAGAGGCCCGCGCGGACTTCTTGGGATCGGCGCCGGGCACCCCGGAGGCCCCTCGGCTCGCTGCGCCCCGACGGGGAGGGGGGGTGCCGGCGCCGATCCGAGAGAGCTGCGCGGACTTCCGGAAGGTGGACGTAGGGCGTCTGCGAGTCGTCGGCAAGAGCGCGCACACGGTTTCGAGGGGGCCACATGCGAACCCGACCCCTACCCCCCACGATTTCTGAGGGGGAGGGTGGGGTTCACTTCGCTCGGGAGCTCCCGAATGGAGTGAACCCCACCCTCCCCCTCAGAAATCGTGGGGGGTAGGGGTCGGGTTTGCATGTGGCCCTATTTTCAGCAGAAAACAGGGGCAAGATGATGGCAAGTGTGTCTGCGTACGTAGAGCAGCGACAGCGGGCCCCCCACACACAAACTCCACCCGGGGGCGAGGTGGGCCCCAGACGAACGCGTGTGCAGCAAGGGAGGAGGAGGAGGAGGAGGAGGAGGAGGAGGAGGAGGAGGAGGGAGAGAAGAAGGAAAGAGCCGCAGCAGCAGCACGGCGCACCTTTGGGGCCCTCGTTGGCGTCTTGCCGCACTCGACGACCAGGTATGAGTCACACCAGCCCTCTGGGTGGAGGTGGTGTAGGACTATTTCTCTTCTACCCTCCCTTTTTCCCCGTCGGGGAAGGATTCATCACTGTCCTTACTACACATATACACCCCTCCCCAATCCGAGCGGCAACAAACTCGGGACAACGCGCCCCCCCCCCGCCATCCCATTTAAAATACCGTGCAAAACGCACATGGCGGCACCATCTGGACCGTGCGCAGTGGCCCCGTTTGCACTTTGTATTGGCTGTTGACAGGGGCGGCGGGGGGTGCCCTCACATTGCACGCTCTGCGCAGGCCTACACGTCGGTCGGAAGAAGTAGGTAAAAACATGAAGTAGGAAGGCGGATTAAGCTGGTTGGGTCCAGGCCCCCCCAGGGAATAACAAAACACAGGAAACGCGTGTCGATTCTTGAAGTAGGAAGGCGCTTGAAGTAGACTGGGATCTGGGAATCTAAGAATACCTATTTGCAGCGACCGGCGTGTATCCTCCCTGTCACCACACGGTGCCAGATGCACTTTGCGGCAACATCTTGACCGTGCGCGGCCGCCCCATGATCACCTGGCTGTTGCCGGGAACGGCGGCGATGCCTTTTAAAGAGTCTGCTCTGCGCAGGCCCACCACCCCTGTCAACACGCAATGCAAAATACGCTGTGTGGCAAAAGATGCTTCATGCGCGGGCGCCACGCGATCACTTAGGAGGGTGCCTTCATGTCGACTGCTCTGTGCAGGATCACGGGACGACAAACAGCATGCAAAGCGCACTTCGCGGCGGAATCTGGACCATGCGAGGGCGCCCCGCGATCACTGTGCACTGGTTTTTGACAGAAAAGCTGGGGGAGCTCTTATTTTGTCTGGTCAGTGCTTCTGGCGGGACTCATGAACTCAGTGGGATCGGAGCCCCAGGCTCGGATGCTGACTATGTGTCGGGAGGGCACGTGGGAGTGAGCGACACGGCTCCCCCACCCGACCGGCGACAAACCGAGGACAATGAGAACCCCCCGCCATCCCTGTCAACAGAAAAAAACCCAAGTGCACAGTGCGGCAAATGTTGGGTCATGCTCGGGGGTGGGCGCGAGCACATTGTATCACTGTTTGACAGGGGCGGTGGGGGCTCCGGCACATGGCCTGCTGTGTGCAGGGCCACATACATACACGCACACACAAGCAAACAAACAAAAAAAGACCTGCACTTCGCGGCGAAATCTGGACCATGCGCGGGGACTCCGCGATCACGACGCGTTGGTTCTTGCCAGGACGGCTGGGGTGCTGGCATCTTGCCTGCTGTGTGCAGGCCCAGACGTCATGATGGCCACTCCGCCGCGACTCGGCGCTGGTCTTCGACAAGGATGGTGGGCGCACCTGGCGCGGCTGGAGCATGCGGCACACTTGGCGCAAGCGGAGCACGTGGCGCATCCAGGGCGTCAGGCGTGCCTGGCACGCTTGGGCCCCAGGGGCGCCGGGCGCGCCTGGTGCGCGTGGCGCACCTGGCACGCGTGGCGCACCTCGCCCAAGCGACGCGCACCTGGAGTCTGGATTGGCTTCCAGTAGCTGCCCGTCCAAAGACGACCGCTGAATCTGCTGAGACTCGGGTACTACTTGCGTGTGGAGAGGGCGGGTGGGAGTGAGCCAAACAGTTTGCGTCTGGAAGACGTGCCTTGACCCCTCCCGTTAACCCCTGCCCCAGGGTTTGGACGAGGCGCCCCACGAGGCGTTGTAGCATCCAAGATGGCCCAAGATGACTCACAGGGGGGCTCCGAGAGCCAAAACATGATCCCCAAGATGGGTCCAGAGCCAAGATACTTCTAACAGCATATTCATGGAGGTGCCAAGACCGCTCCAACATGTGCCCCAGTGACACTGGAGCCTCTGCAAGACGCCTCCGAGAAGCCCAAACCCATCAAATGCAGGAAAACAAACACGATGGCTCAAATTCTCGCCGTTTCGCAATCGATGAGCTTGGAAGCCTCAAGATGGCTCCCAAGATGGCCCAAGAGGGCGCCAAGAGGGGCACAAGAGGGTCCCAAGATGAAGCGTTTCCAGAGGGCCCCGAGAGACGACGTTGAGGGCTTTCGAGAGGCGCCGCTGTTAAGGGATCCCCCTTGTGTACCGATGCCAGCAAAGATGGCCCAAAGGGGGAGCCCAGGGCCCCCAAGAGAACCCAAATAGATGCCAAGACGGTTCCTCCTCCATGATGGGCCCAAGTGGGCCACAAAAGGACCCCGACAGGCCACCAAAGGCTTCCAACATTTTCCCGAACGGTGTCCCAAAATGGTTCGGGTAAGCTGCCAGATCTGCGAAGGCAGTCATGCTTGACTGATGGGCCTGCCACCGATCTTCTGATTCATGGCTGCCCCGCCTCGGTGTTCCACTGTGTGCTACCGCACGTCCGTAATCAATATAACTCGCCAGGGGCATCGTTGCTGGATGGGCTGGTGGGGATACACGAAGCATGAATAATTCAACATCTCGCTAAAAAGCGGAACGAGCACTTGAACATGCTGTCTCTGTGTTCGGATATGTTCGAGAACAGACATGCACCGCACAACATTCATGGGAAAGACGCACGTGCGGCCTGGTGTCAAAAACACACACACACAAACCGCGCTGATGGCCCGAGTGGCACGATGGACAGGGTACCAGGCGCGAGTGGCAGGCTGGAGCCACGTACATCCTTCTCTTCCTCCTCCCAGGAGGAAAGGAGGGCGAGGAGGAGGAGGAGGCGGAAGAGGACGACGACTACGACGACGAAGCGCAGGCGTCCTGGAAGGCCTGCCACACCTGGCCACCAGCCCTCAGGGAAGAGGCGCCGACGACCTTCGTGTCGACCATCCACTGCTCCGTCGGCCCAGGCATGCTGGTGCTAACGGTGGCTGCAGCAACGCCGACGGTGGATATCACGGAGTCGAGCGCCAACCCAGTGACGCCCACGACCTTCAGGAGCAGCCCCATCCCCTACCACCCTCCTCCGTCCCCTATCCTCTATCCTCTATCCTCCTTCGTCCTCTTTCCCCATACCATCCTCCATCCTCCATCCATCCTCTATCCTCTATCCTCGTCAATCATCTGTTCATATCTATCCTCCATCCCATACCACCCTCCATCCTCTATCCTCCTCCTGCTTCGTCTGCGTCCCCCATCCCTCCGCTGCCCTCCTCCTCCTCCTCATCCTCGAGGCCTGCGCGGACACGGGGAGGGGCGCCTGGGAACGGTGCTCTATACATCTGTGTATATACACATGTATGGTATGTATACACGTCGATCGGAAGAAGTAGGTAAAACCATGAAGTAGGAAGGCGGATAAAGTGAATTGGGTCTAAGCCCTCCCAGAGAATAACAAAACACGGCAAAAACATGACGATGATTGAAGTAGGAAGGCGCTTGAAAAAAGGCTGGGATCTGGGAATCCAAAAATATCTACGTTCAACGACTGGCGTGTACTGGTGTGTTTGTGTGTGTGCATGCGTGTATGTACATACATATGTATATGGAGGCATGTATGTAGAGATGTGCGTTTTGCCCATCGAAGTGTGTGTGTGTGTGGTTCCTAGTCTACCCCCCGCCCGTCCCTCCTATGCGAGCCTTCCCAGGTCCCACATACCTGGCAGGGATCACCCACACCCCCACCCACTCAACCCGCTCCCCCCTGTCCCCCCTCTCCTCATGAGCCTCGCCATTCCAGCCCTCTCTCTTCTGTCGCTCTCTCTCTCTCTCTCTCGCTCTCTCTCTCGTTCTCCCTCTCTCTCTCTCTCTCTGTCTCGAAACTATAGCTCTCTCTCTCTCGTTCTCTCTCATTACTTCCTGTTCGCCTCCCCCCCCCGCCCGTCCCCACCCATCCGCCCTCGCCCCCACACTGCCCGCGCCCCGCTGCCCCGCCTCCCGCCTCCTGTATCCCTCCCCTCCTCCGCCTCCTCCTCCGCTCCCCCTCTCCCTCTCTGTCTCTCTCCCTCTCTCCGTCTCTATCTCTCTCTCTCTCTCTCTCTATCTCTCTCCCCCTCTCTAACCCCCCTCTCTTCATGTCTGTAGCTCTCTAGCTCTCTCAATCTCTCTTTCTCTCTCTCTCTCTCTCTCTCTCCCTTTCTCTCTCATTGCCCAATTGTCCCCCCCCCCCCCCCAGCCCCTACCCATGCAGCCGCCCCCCCACTCCCATTGCCCGCGCCCCCCCTGCCCCGCCTACTGCCTCCCTCACCCCTCGTCCTCCCTCATCATCCTCCTTGTCCTCCCCCTCCTCGTCATCGTGTTAGTTGCATTCCTACTCCTACTCCTCCTCCTCCTCCTCCTCCTCCCCCTCCTCTTCCCCCTCCTCCTCCTCATCCTCCAACTCCACCTCCACCTCCAACTCCTCTTCATCCATTCCCCCCTTTCGCTCTCTCGGCCAAAGGGCGGGCAGGCAGAAAGCAGACGGGGGGGAGGGAGAGGGCCAGGGAGAGGAGGAGGAAACAGGAGGAGGGGGAGGAGGAGACATGACGAGTGAGCAAGGCAAGGGAAGGCTGGCGGAGGTGGCCTGAGAGTTGAGCAAGGCAGCGTACATCGGCCGCTGCGGGGGATGGAGGAGGAGGAGGGGGAGGAGGAAGAGGAGGAGGAGGAGGATTAGGATGAGGAGGAGAAAGGAGGAGGAGAAAGGAGGAGGAGGAAGAGGAGGAGGAGGAGAGAGGAGGAGGAGGAGGAGGAGGAGGAGAAGGAGGAGGAGGAGGAAGAGGCGGAGGGGGAGGGCGAGGAGGGAGGAGGAGGAGGAGGAGGAGGAGGGAGAGAGGAGGAAGAGAGAGGAGGAATGGACAAGGCACGGCAAGGCACGGAAAGTCTGAGAGGAGGTAAGAGGAGGAGGAGGAGGAGGAGAAAGGATGAGGAGAAAGGAGGAGGAGGAGGAGGAGGAGGAGGAGAGAGAGAGGAGGAGGACGAGGAGGAGGATAGAAGGAGGAGGAGGAGGAGGAGGAGGAGGAGGAGGAGGAGGAGAGAGGAGGCTTGAGGAGGAGAGAGGAGGAGGAGGAGGATGAGGAGGAGGAGGAGGAGGAGAGAGGAGGAGGAGAGGGAGGAGAGGAGAAGGGAGGAGGAGAGGAGGAAGAGAAGGAGGAGGAGGGAAGAGGAGGAGGAGAGAGGAGGAGTGGGCAAGGCACGGAAAGGCTGACGAAGGTTACCTGAGAGTTGAGCACGGCAGCGTAAGTCGACCGCTGCGGGGGGAGGAGGAGGAGGAGGAGGAGGAGGAGGAGGAGGAGGAGGAGGAGGAGGAGGAGGAGGAGGAGAAATGAGAAAGGAGAAAGGAGGAGGAGGAGGCGGAGGAGGAGGAGGAGGAGGAGAAGGAGGAGGAGGAGGAGAAGGAGGGGGGCGGAGGAGGAGGAAGAGGAGGAGGAGAAGCTGCAGCAGCAGGAAGAGGATTCATGAGCCCGTAGCAAAATCAGGAGGACGGGGGTCGCCAAGGAGCAGGAGGAGAGAGGACGAGAGAGGAGCTCGGCAGCGGCTGGAAAGGTGCCGCCACATTCGCATGCATACGAACACCACCACCACATTGGGGTTCAATATTCTCGGGGGAGAACACAACCTGCCGACAGCGCTCCCGCGCGCGAACCCCGAGAGACTCAGCCTCCCCATGGGAGGCGAACCCGAAGAGGGCAAGGCCTCGCACGAGGTCGAACCCCGCCCCATCACGTCCCGCTCCCGCCAAGCGAAGCGGACAAAGAGATGCTGGAACGGAAAGGTATCAGCAGCGGCGGGCCATCAACACCCATCTCCCTCGCTAATTGAGACCGCGCTGTCTCGGACAGCCCAGTCCGTCCTTACCGAGATACCAACCCTGTAAAATCCAAGTCGACTTCCTCTCACGCCTAGCCGAACGGTGCCCGACGCAATATGTCACGAGAGCGGATTGACCGCCGTGGCCTCCACCAGCACAGGCCGAGCCGCAGGAGGTTTAACAAGCTAGCGACACATGGACGAGGACGAGGACGAGAGACGAGGAGAAGAGAGGAGGAGGAGGAGGAGGAGGAGGAGGAGGAGGAGGAGGAGGAGGAGG